TTGTCTTCATAATCTGGTTTCGCATCATATAAAATATATAAAGTATTGTCAGAAGCAGACAACCAAAGTGGTACAACACCCTTCTAAATGATATTACTGCAGCAGAGTATATTCATAAACAGCTTGTCCAACCAAGCACCTTTACTATACAACCTCTAAATAATCAACACATTGCATGAGTTTATAACCTATGACTCCAGGTCTTTGGAAAATTCTCAAGAAAGAAAAATTAAACTATCATTTTCCATACTGGAAACAATTACCAAACAATCCTTACTGACTAACCAACTATATGAGATGCAGACTTAGTTCCTCAAATCAACAATACTGCTATCTTAAGGATTCTGTGCAAAATTTAATACATATCCAAGTAGACAAAGAGAAATATATATATGCAAATATCAAGGATCTAAACATAACTCATATACAGCTCTACTCTAATACTACAAAATTACAACAAAAATACACCTTTACTATGTATAAAGATCAGATTTCAAAAAACTTAATGGACACTACACCCAACCTAAAACAAAAATTATGGGAAATCTACAGATTTCTTTATGAAAAAACAATATTAAATGCTAATATAAACATACAACCTCACAGCACAAATTCAATACACAACCTATAGCCCACTAGACAATAACCAACACACCTCTCAACCTCCAAATCTCAAAGTGAATTTCACTTGAAGATATGATCCTAATTACATGCTATAGACTGTTTTTATTGATGCTGACCCAAGTTTATCAAAGACTATTTTGTGTTATATTATAATTATCATATAAATAATCTATTGACAATAATGTAATCTATAGACTGTTTTTTTCTTTGTACTGTTTGCACTTGCTAAAAAAACTTCTCATGAGCGAAACTTAAAACAAACAGAACCACAATATAATAACTATGACACAATTTCTCCTGTTGAAGAAATTCAGGATGAAAGCTATAAACAACAAGGTTATATATAGAACCCGACTAGTGAAATGTTATATTTTCTCACATGTATTCATAAAGACAATAAACTTTCACAAAAAGAACAAAAGGCTATTTTACAAGCCCAACTCTGCAAAAAATACATATACTTTCAACCACTCTCTATGGATAAGACTCTTTAGAAAAATATGTCTAGGACAGCAAGAGAAATGGATAAACTACTTGCAAAAATCATATACAGGTAATCTGCAACTCTTTACCCACTTGACAATACTTTATATATTTTATATGATGCGAAACCAGATTATGAAGACAAGGAAGCACTGGAATT